CAGTTCTTGGCATTAGCATTTGACCGGGGCGGGCGGGGCTGGGGGGTTGGACAAAACAACCTGTAAAACAGCCCCTGTAAAAGCTGGCAGCGTCGACGGAATGAGGGATTGGTCGAGGAATCTTCCTTTCGACCCCCCTCCATAGTCTCTGAGAGGAGGGAGGCTGCCATCGCCTGTTGTTGTTATTTACAGTTTCTCCACCGCACTGCCTCGGTCTGACTTTCAGCCATTGGCAAGAAAAAGAATGGGGGGGGGCGGCATTTTCCAGAAACAAACCTCCCCTTTCTCCCAACCTCTTCACTGCGATTGACAAGGGAAAGATCTAGCCTCAAATTCTACTTTGCAGTGGTCCCTTTGTCAGCATCCTGCTTCCCCCTTCATAGGTGGTCCTGCTGGGATCCCCCCCCCCCATTAATGCCCGCTCTGTTTAAGGCCCATTTGCGGCATAGCATAGCGTCCGTCGTGCTCGGAGGCATTGATTTTACAAATGTACAAAAGGCCTCGTGTTCTTCTTTAGCACATTGTATGCGTTAGCTGCATAATCCTGTGCCCGTTATCTAGAAGCAAATCCCGCTGACATCAGTGCCTCCGACCAAGCCGCGCCCAAGGCTGAAGATGGCAGCAGAGGGAGGTGGAGGGACCAGCGGCTGCAGCCGCTTTCATGTTCTGGGGGGGCAGGCAAAGACTGCATGGTGTCGGGCCCCTCGGAGGCCGAGGGCTCTTTTGCATGTTGTCTAGTGCAGGCACTGGCAGGAAAGTTTGCCAGTTGAAAAAAAATGCTGACTGCCCTTGTCTGCACAGGACAGTGGGAGGGGGAGAGAAGCAGGGTGTGGAATCCTCCCTGGTGCTAGAAAACCCTAGGGGGTGGGTGGTGGGACTGGAAGACTGGCACCAAAGGGGCTCTGGTTGCCTGCTCGCTGTTCTTCCCCCCGTGCTTCTCCTCCCAACCACGGTAAGAAAAGTGGGACTGTGGGGAAGAGAAGAGGCCTGGTGGACCCTTCTTTTCTCATGTATCCAATATTTGAATGTCCTCTGTGGTTTAGGTGATGCAATGCCGAAGATATGGGGAAAGTTGTAATATAGAGAGAGTTCTTAATAAAGGTAGTCCTGGGTTAAGAACGCCTGGTTTACAGATGACCCATAGTTAAGAAGGGAGCCTATTGTAGCAAAATCTGAGTTAAATGCACAATGACTCGAGTTAAATACACAGTGGTTCAAGTTCATTACACAATAATACTTATACAGTATTATGCAATAATACTCTTCAGGCTTACATACAAATTCACCTTAAGGATAGACCTTGGGAACGGAGCTCGTTCTTAAACTGGGGACTACCTGTACGGTAAGACACATCCAGCAGTTTTCCAGAATGCTGTTGAACATATATGTAAAAGGCCTATGACATGGGGGCGTGGCAGTTGTCTCATGGGAGAAGTGGCTCTGCAGCCAGCTGTACCTGTGGTGCACTGGCCCAGAACCTGCCAGCAGATGTGCTGGCTGAAGAGCCTCTTCCCTCCGCTTTAGAACCGACGCAGTGCCTCCTTTGTAGGTCATGGCCGAGATGAACGTGGCATCATCTGCTTTTGCCCTCAAAGTCCAACTCATGAGGCGCCTCCATCTGTGGTTAGTCAGGTATTTGGAGAACTCTTGGTGTCTCCAGTATGTCCATCTCCATGTCTTGCCCCAGGCAGTTAAGCTCAGGTGGTAGCTGTGTTCATCTTGGGAGATCCTATGATATGGTTTGACGGGTTGTTTTAAACATTTTATTATTTTCGGTTATGTTTTGCTGATTATTGTTTTTGATGCCTTGTTAGCCTCCTTGAGCTGTTCTGGCAAGTAAGCAGCTATAGAAATCAAATCAAATCAAATCAAATTAAATCAATCAATCAATCAATCAATTCTCATTTTGCTTTTAGTGAGGGGACTGGGATAATGATGAAGATAGAATAATATCCCTAACTTCATTATTTTCATCATAATCATAGCCATGTTCCACTGAAATTACTGTAACATGCATTCAGTGAAAATGTACAAGCCCTACCTACTGTTAATAAACAAACAATTTTTTAAAAAATCAAGTAAAAAGTCTGGGTATAATAGCATTTTAGAAGGAGGGACTAAGCAAAAATGTAATAGCACAACAAGGAAGAAATGAAAAAGCTAAAACAGTGTTAAATAGTCTCTTAAAGGGCAAAGATGAAACCAAATATCAAAAATGTTCCATTTTCAAGAAAACATAAGGGAATGCAGAAACAAGGAATAATATAAAGAATAAAGGGAATTAAAATATTTATTAAGAGAGGGATAAAATAGGAAAATAATTATAGATTGTGAGTGGAAGAAATCAAATTAAGCGAGCTAAGAAGCTGAAAATAGAGTGAAGATCAGAAAACAATAATCAAGAGAAGGGTTTGAATTAAGGTTTAGAAGAATGGTTAAATAAAAAAGGATGAGCTTTAAAAATGTGATGTAGATCTGACAAACTTTAAACATAACAGTAATAAGGTTGAAAAACTGAAGGCAGCAGTAAATGTTAAACAGGCAAGGTTTGTTGACCTGCTAAGAAAGTGTGAACTATAGGGACAGAGGCTAAAGTGAAGGTTGAGTGGAAAACACAATCAATTCTATCTTCCTGCACACTGAATTTGATCTGATCTCACAGCCAAGAAATAGCTTAGACATCTTGAAATACTTGTAAAAATGAAGGGACAATGTGGAAATAAGAAAAAAAAAGGGGGGGGGGAGGAAAGAAGCCAAGAACCAAGCTTTGAGGGACCCCATGAGAAAAAGGAAACAAAGAAAGAGAGAGGCAAAGTTAAGGACGAGTAGGGTTAGAAAAATAATGTGTGATGGAAGAATGAAAAGATCCCACTAGAGCCAACTGAATGAAATTAAATAGCTAAGAGGGGCCATTTGAAAATTGAAGATTCATTCCCTCTAGTAGTGAACTCAGGTGGCTGAATGCTAGCAACCTTAGAGACAAACTGGAATCATAAGAACAAACTTGGGAAGATAAAATCTAAAATATGCAAAAATGCAAGATATTCAATAGGAGTGAGAAGTAATATATTTTTTTCAAATCAGCCCAACAGAGGCTGAATATGCTCAGTGGTTTTGGCGAATCATGGAATTTAGGATGCTAACCAGAAAAGAAAAAACCGTACATGGGTGTGTGTGAGAGAGAAGGAGAATTGTCCCTTCTGTATTTCAGTACCTTGGAGAAAGGATGGCTGAATCAATTCTGAATTTGCTAGAAAATGCAATCCTGCAGGGAATAAAATGCTAATATATAATAAGATTATATTGTCCATATAATTTAGCAATAAGCAGCATAAAGTACATAAAATCCAGAGGTATTTAGTTGCTAAAATTATGATAGTAATAATCTGTAATAAATGGCAATATATTGTAAGGTCTTCGAAGTCCAGTTTGAACCTCTGTCCAGGGTAGACATTCTATTGTCCTACAGGCTGTGAACAAAAGACACCCAAGCATTCCTGCCAGTTGGGAACGATACGGCGAGCAAAGCCAAATGCTATTTTTCTTGCCATTTCAAAGAGTCTGAATGTGAAGCCGAACATCTGAAGCGGGATCTTGCAGTTTCTTCTGTTTCTATGGAGATGGCGGATGCATTGAACTTTAGCTTTTTGAGAATCATTTGGGGTTCCAAATGTTTCTGTGTTTATTGTACATCTGCTGAATTCAGTTGCTCTCTAGTTGCAAGAGGCCATTCTGAAAATGGGGAATGAACTTGCAAAGCAGGGAAGGGTTTATTTTTGGAGGGAACATAGTGCCACGGTCCACAGATCAGTGTAGTGGTGTACTTTGAGTTCAGCTAAAATTAAAATCTCTGTCGGTGGTTTAATCCAGACCAGCAGTTAGTATAAAATCTGGGGGAAAGGCACAGAAACAGAGAAGGAGACAAACTTATCTGTTTTTTTAAAAAAAATGATTTGCATCCATCAGGCTTTGCTGTAAAAATGGTGGGGGGAATGTAACCTTCCCCTTGCAATAGGCCTGGAAGAATTAGTCTGCCCCAACCTGGTGTCTTATCAATAGATGGACTAAGCAACAAAGTATTTTTCAAGCAGAGCTTTACTCCTGCTGATTTCAAGGACAGGCTCATTTAATGCTTGTGGTAGAAATGCAAAGTGTTTGCCACTGCCTTTTTCTGTGGTGTTTTTTCAACCTCCTATTCTATCTTGCAAACCTGGAATTTCACAGTGGTCTCCCATCCAACTACTAACCAGATCTAACCCTGCTTAGCTTTTTCAAATCCATTAAAATTGTCTAGGTGCTGGTGCCTAGCTGAGTTTTATATGGATCTGTCTTGGCAATGATAGGGGCTATTGGCAATGATAAGGGCTATTGTTTTCCAGGGTGATTTTTAATTTTCTTCCCAGTCTAGTTTACAACTCTCAGATTTCTGGTGGTCTCCCATCCAAATACTAACCATACTAACCCTTCTTCATTTTTTGAATCAATCAAAGTCACTTAGGGGCTCCCACCTAGCTGAATTTTACATGGATTTGACCTTGCTATCTTGGAAATAATATGGAAACAATCTGACACTGTCTTCATTCTGGGTGTGTTTTTGACTTCCCAATCTAGTCTCTAGCAGCCCTGGGATTTCCTGGTTTCCATTCAAATGCTAAGTAGGTTCAGCCCTGCTTAGCTTTTTTGAGATCAGCCAACAACTACTACATTCTCCCATAATCTCCTGCCAACATGGTGAAAAGAATTTAGCCTACACTTCTGGAAAATATCCAGTCAGAAAAAGCTTTCCTTTGATTTGTTTCCTTCCCTTAATTGGTTGTTCTTAATATGAAACTGCTAATTTGAACTAGTGCAGGGTAAACAAGGAGTTCTCTAAACTTTCTGAGAAGGGAAGGTAAATTCTGTGCCCCCAAATTTGATGAGGTGCAATTGCCTTCTGCTAAAAAGATCCACTTTTCAAAGCATTTGAATATCCCACATATCTGTGTATATGTGGGAGTGAACCGAACAGGGAAAGCAGAAAAGAGGGTGGCCATCAAGGTTAATACAATCTCTATGAAATCCCACAAGAACAGAGAGAAAGTTTGAAGAACACAAATGTCCTTCTCTGCTCATGTGTGATGGATTGGAATTATGAAGGCCAAACTCAGGGAGGAAAACATGCTCTTTCGTCTCCTGAGGAGTGAG